CCCCGTGAGTGTGAGTCCACTTGGAGAGTGGCCAGGCCTTTGCGGAGGCCTAGCCTGTCCCTGAGACTGGCTTCCCTGCCTGGCTGTCAGGTGGGGGTGCTGCTCGTCCAGTGTACCGCCCATTGCCAATGGCCCGAGCTGGCTCATTCACACGTCTTCTGGGGGACACCTCAGGCCCTCAGACCTGAGCTGGGTGCGCATCACAGCCGGAGGAAGGCAGCCCAGTGCAGGCTCCCCCCCACCGATGGGAATCAGGAGGAGGATGGGGTCCCAGAATCTGTTTTGAGTCACCAGCCCATAAGGAGGAAACGGTCCCTTCTGAGGGAGAAGCAGAGACCACGGCCCTGCAGCACCAGGCCCTCCAGACCTGTGGGCAGGCCCCCCTTTAACCTGAGCTGGCCTGTTTCCAGAATCTGCTGGTCGTGGATCTGAATGCTGCGTGGACTCCTCCCAGATGAGGGTGGCTGGCCGAGCCCCTGGCCCAGCTCTCTGAGACCAGCTTCTGCTCCCCCCGCCCCCCGGGCCTGCAGGGGCCTCCCTCCCAGGCAGGGGAGGTGGGCTGGGGAGGGTGTGCCCAGACCCACATTGTGTTTCAGGCGCTTTGTGGAAATACCTAGTTTATCTCTACCCATAACTGTGTGATGAAATCTCCGTTTTACACATGAGGAAACTGAGGCACAGTGTTTCGATCCACCCCCACAGAGGCACCACACAGGCCCCAGAGTCATACCTTTAAAATGCCAGTGGGACTTGCCTTAAAACCTGTGTCCACGGAGCCCCGAGGGAAAGCCGAGTTCCTGAGCGTGGCCGTGAGGCCTTTCGCGGCTGGCTCCTCCCCTTCCTCTCGCCGGCTTCCAGTCCCACGTGGAGGCCGGTGCTGCCCAGGTTTCCATTGCTGGGCACCTCCCCTCCCCTCCCCTGCCAGACCCCAGCCTGGAGTCACTGCTCCAGATCCTCTCCCGACCCCCTGTCCTGGCTGAACTGAGCACCCGCCCTGCCAGGAGGGAGACCGTGTGTGATACTGCCCGGGAGCTGTGCCCTGCGGTGCTCGCAGCTCTGCCTTCTGTGGAGGTGAGCTCCTGGGCAGACACGGCCCCCAGTCACCTGGCAGCTGTGGGCGCCCACTTTGCATCTGAGGAACTGGGCGGCCCTGCACCTTCAGTGTTACGTTAGGCCTTAGAGAGGGGTGTTTAAGAGGCCTTCAGGTCCCTGGGGGTCTTACAGGGTCCCTCTCGTCACGGGCCTTGGTGCAGTCCCCCCGCCCCGTGGAGGTGGAATTGCAGCTCTGAGAAGTTGAGATGTGGCGGCACCGTGTCCTGCGCTGCCCTGTGCAGGATGAGCTGAAGCCTGGGAGTGAGTCCCCTGCTGGGCCCTGCTCATGAGCTCATGGAGCCTGGATCATGCGTGTCATCCTCCAACAATCTGCGCTTGGCTTTCAGGGATCCTCTGGCGCCCGTGCTGAGCCCCACCAAGCATGTGGGGTCCAGAAGCAGCGGCCGGGAAAACCCACGGTGGGACTTCCCTGCAGGGAGTGACGATCCGGGAGAGCTGGCCGGAGCTCCTGCGGGCAGAGCCGACCCGAGGTGGCCCAGGGCCCAGGGCCACTGAGGGAGCAGCTGGGTCCTGGAGCCTCAGAACCTGAGCCCATTGGGCTTAAGACCCACAGCAGGAGGCCCAAATGGCACACACGAAGCCACTTAGCCTGATGCGAGCAAAGCTTAGCAAGCCTCCTCCCCTGGGTGCCGGGCCCTCCATAGAGAAGCAGCATGGAGACCGCAGCTGCGGGGCCCCAGCCTCCCCCACTTCTGCCCGTGGTCAGGCAGGCTGCCCTCCAGATGCGGGGCCCCAGCCTCCCCCACTTCTGCCGGCGGTCAGGCAGGCTGCCCTCCAGATGCGGGGCTCCGGGAAGCTGGGCGGGAAGGACTTCTGGGGTTATCTGGGGTCGAGCATAATGTCATCTTGATGCTTCGAAGCACACAGTGGGGCTTCTCATTTGTTTCCCTCCCCTATTGCGGCTACTTTCCTGTGTACTCCCTCCCTCCAGCCTCCTAAGCCTGGGGGAGTCCAGCTCTGGTTAAGGGAGCCTGGAGGTTCTCAGGGGAAAGACTGAATGTGCACAGGCCCGAAGGCCTCGCCCAGGCACCATGCTAGCTTCTGGACAAAACGAGAAAGGCCCCATTCGACCCATAGCAATGTTCCAACTCAGCATCTCGGGCACAGCCTGGGTTTTGAACAGTGTGTGTGTGTGTGTGGGGGGGGGGGGCACCTCTGGGAGATTTGGGGTT